CCATAGCAACACCTTTAATGGCCATGTATCCCAGCATAATGGTGTAAAAATACAACTAACAACCAATTAGGAAGATGCCCAAGCTGAGGTAAGCCAGGGCCAGTTGCCAAGTTAGCATGATGAATGCAACTGGGGGCCAAGGGGATGCCCGGGATCGGGATCGGGATCGGATCGGTGCTTGTTAAAATTGATTGCCGGCCAGAAACAGAATAGGGCCAAAGACAAAGGCAACAACTGCTTAGGCATGTTACCTTTTTGCCGCTCGCCTAACCTGGCCCAAAGAACATTGATTTATATTTGTATTGACACTTCACCCTGTCTCCCCTGCCCCGCCCCCTGTTTGTTTGCCTATCGCACAAATTTGTCCCTGTCATTGTTTTACAAGCAGCCTCCTCCTCCTCGCCCTGCTTCCCCCGAAAAATCGGAGACAAATACAGAAATAGAGAGAGAGAGGCTGAGGGGAAATGAAGGCGCAGCAGAAGAGGTGGCGGAAAATCAGGCAAAATCGATTGGGCCAGAGCTCCAGGAATTATTTTAAAGCTTTGGGGAAAATGAATAAAAGCCATACAGATTTCAGAAAATAAACTATAATTAAGCCTCAGCCGGGGAAGAATTTGTATAAATTTTATATATAATTAATTACATTTTATAGATTTTATATATAATACTGTCTACGATTTTTATGTTAGTATTTATATTAAGGTAAAGTTATTCTATAATATAAATCAAACAAGAAAGAAAGCTAACTTTGGCCAGCCAAAGTTTGTATTCCCTTGCAGGTAACAATTGAAATACATATATCATAACTAAGCCAAAAATGCATTAATTTCGATTCGGAAAGAAGTTTTGTGTAAGTTTTTATTAATTTAAAAAAACCGCATACCAAATTTAAAATTTTAAGAAATCACATTTTTTGGCCATTTTTGATAATTTTAATGATGTATCAAATGTACCTTATCAAATTTCGCAAAAATGGCCAAAAAATCGATTTCTTCCGGACATATCTAGAAAGATTCCCTTGTTGATGCTGATCAAGAATATATATGGTTTATGGGGTCGGAAATGATTCCTTGACTTAGAAAAATATTATTTTGTATTATAAAATCTGATTTTTTATATTAAAAATCTTCTTGATTTTTTTTTAAATTAAAAATATCATAACTCGGCCAAAAGAGCACTGCGTTGCAAACTTCTGACTGAAATTATAATACCCTGCAAGGGTATAAAAATATATACAAATATATTTATCATTATATTTAAAGCCCTATGTTTATATCAGGTTTTTAGTCTTGTTTAAAATTTCTATTTTTAAATTAAAATTTTAATAATTAATGGGAAATATACATATAAATATTCCTTAAAGTATATATATTTTTTATTTTCAAGACTTTAAGGAATAAAAATCTCCGTTTAATTATTAAAATTTAAATGTACAAATATAATAAATACAGGTATATAAAAATCTGATGTATACATAGAGTTTCAAATATAATATATCATTATTATATATTTAATATAATATAATAATAATTATTAATAGATATTTTATACATTTTGTTGTAATATATTATTATTAGATATTTAAAATAATTTAATATATTATTTTTATATATTTTTCCCAGACACAAAAATATTTTTGTACCCCTTCAAAACTATTATCAACTCAAAAATGTACAAAATTAGAAAACAAATAACAAAGGCTTTTAAGATACACACTCTGATGTGACTGATGTGTGTGTGTGTGTGTGTGTGTGAATACTTAATTTCTGTGCAGAGGAGAGACTACTACACACTTCAATGGTCTCGCTTCCGCTTGAAACTGAAATTATTTCAAAGTTGACACACGAAATTACCATTGATAAATGCCGGAAATGTGCTCCTCATTCCGATGGATTCACAGCCACTGCCACTCCTCGTTCCCCTGTGTTCAGAGGGTATGCAGGGCATTCCGGGGAATCCGGGGAATCCGCCTCCACAATGGCCATGCAAATTGGGCACGGGCTGCATCGAACCCCAGTCCGAATCCGAATCCGAGTCCGGATCCGGGGGTGGGAGGGGGTCCTGTGTTTGTGTGGCCTGTGTTTGTGTGGCCTGTGTTTGTTTAACTCGGTCATCAAGTCAAAACAAGGGGCGGAATGGGTTACAAAAAAAAAAGGGGAAAGCAGGGCAACCGTATTTGATTGTGTTGAATGCAGCATGATTGGAGGTTTCCTTAAAGGACTGCCACATATATGTGTGTATCGGTTGGTTGTCACTAACGACTTCCTGCAATTAATGTCCATGTCAGCATCATCGCCTGGCAGCTTGATTTGGCCTCGGATAACCCACAGGCCAGAGCGAAATGGTAAACAACTATCAACCTATCGACTATAAATAAAACAAGCGCTTTATTTAAATGCAATTAGGTCATTTTTTTTTTGTGGGAATATATTACATAAATCTTTTTCTCAGGAAATGTATATTTTATGGTAATTATGGCTAGGTTAAGTTAATTATAAATAATAGTTAGGAGCAGGTATTAGGGAGGTTCAAACGAAAAAATATGAAATAAATCTTTCTCTGATTAAATAGATTTTGCATGGTAAAACATAATTTATATCATTAAAAAATATGAATAAATATTAGAAATTATAGGGGTTTAATATTTTAATATACAATTAGGTGAGTTTTTTTATGAAGAAATGTTACATAAATATTTCTTTAAAGAAAAGTATATTTTATGAGAGTTTCAACAAGGTTTAAGTAATCATATTTATTAAGAACTGCTTTTATTGAGATTAAAACGTAGAATAAAATTATTAAAATAATACATAAATAAATCAAAAAGTGTGGGATAATCTCAAGGATTTTTTGTATTTATTTATTAGTTGATAACCTTCTCCTTAATTATTTATTAAATACAAATAATAATCCTCAAGTATATCCCCCACTTTTTGATTTGTTTGTTTATTATTATTTAATTATTTAATAAATAAATCAAAAAATCCTCAAGTATATCCCAATCCTTTTGATTTATTTATTATTTTAATCATTTCATTCTACGTTTTAATCTCAATTTGAACTAATTTTCGCACTTTGCCTTGTCCTAGTGGCTCTCATCTTGTATCTTGTATCCTTGAAATTGTTATTTTCCACTCTCCATCTGTGTGTGCTTTCTGGCCATAAGATGAAGTGGTTTATTTTTGGTGCGCCTTTGGCGATCGATGGCACCGAGTTATTTTTGACATGTCGCCCTGTCAACGTCAACACAACGCTGACATCCAAGTGGCAGGCCAACACCTGAGACTGCCAGCTGAAGAGAGTCCTCCCCCAAGTCGTCCTCCTCCTCTGCCGACTTCCTAATGCCATTTGCCATTCGAGAGACAGAGCCATCGAGTGCCTAATGATGCAGGATGTACACGCCACCAAAAAATATAATTGAAAACATTTCAGTGTCAGCTTTTATTTCATTTAAAAAAAAACTGTACTTATTTTCTGTGCATATTTTTAGTACAGTTTTTTAGGAAACTTTTTTTTTATTTTGTAGATCATCTCTTGAGATTATTATCATTTTTTGTTGCCGTGCACAGAGAGTCCTGTGTTTGTTTATCTAACGAGTAAATACGATTTTAATTAAATGTAAATCACATTGTCAAGCCACACACACACACTCGCAGAAGAAGAACAGCAGGCAAGCCATAAAAGTTACTCCAAAAGCAGCGGGAAAGCGGATGGAAAAGTGGGAAAGGAAAATGGTTGTGGAATGGCGAGTCTCTGAGTGGGAAAAGCAGCAGCCTGCCAGCAGCCTGCTTGCCTGCCTGCTGGGTAGACGACGGAAAAACACAAACAAAATATTGCTTTCGCATGTTACTCATACATATGCCCCGCTGCTCGGCAGCTCAGTAATCCTGCCGCTCCCAGCTCCATCTTCTTCAGCATCATGGCCCAAACACCCTTGAGATTATTAATTAAAAGACAAGAAAACATAATTTCTAAATTTCCATACAAAAAGCAAACGGAGTTGGGGGCCCCCAAAGACAATGGAAAAAGGGAATTGGAATTTGGAATTGGTTCTTTTTGGGCAGAATGAAGCACACATGTGACAGGATGTACATATATGTACATATGTACATACACACATACATTATTTATGTACATACATACATTCTTCCATATCGTTTTGCGCCAAGAAATTACAACTTTCTCAAAAGCAGCGCCAGACTGTGGGAATACAAAAAGAAAGAGTTTTCATTACAACAAATTTAATAAGTAAAACAAACAACAAATATCTCGCATGCTTGTAGAATACATAAATGTGTATTGCACATATGTACATATGTATGTAGTTACATCAATTTGTAGTTCGTCTGGGGAAGAATTCACCCGTTTCTACTGGGCCAGATTTGCTTATTTAGGGGATAAACACACGAGCTAACCCAAAGCTTTTTTAGTATATTTTTACTATGGTTTATCGATAAACTTATTTGCATGATATGCACAAAATAAGTTAAATTACAAAAACTAGTATTAATTAAGTATTTAAGTAGCCAGTTAAGGAGTATCTCTGTTGGGGAAATACATCGATGTAATCAATAAAAAAAAAATAATAAAACAAACAAAACAGCAAACAAACAGCTGATAAAATTAACTAAAATGCAGTTGTTCTTAAGTTTAACTACATTTTTATATTATACAAACAAAACAATGCTGAAAAACCATTTGAAAATCTTTGTGCTTTACTTTATTATGGTTTTTACCGATATCATATATAACGTTTTCATTAAAATGTATTAAGTAAATATATATATTTTATATATAGTATTCCAATAACAAAAAAATTTAAACAAAGAAGTTGGTATTTTAAAGGCCAATCCCCTAGTGCTCATAATACCAACTTATGTTTAGCAATTCTGAATTTTTAAGCGATAGTTGCATAGTGTAAACGTTTTAAATGCAACCCTTGCTCAATGCAACTCTGTGCCTAAGGTTGACTTCCGCTATCGCTTTTGACTTATCGACCTCTTAACTCGTCTCTTGCGAAACGAACGACACGTGTGTGAAAGAAAAAAAATTAAAAAAAGGTGAGAAATATAATAAAATCATAAAAGTGTTAAATATGTGAAGTAGTGAATGCGATGAGCACAGCGGGGTAACTCCTGCTGTATTTTACAATTTAAAAAAAGGAATAAAACTTCCATTTGTGTCTGCAGTTTCCAAGAATTCCCTTCTAATTCAGATTCTTATATTACTTTCGTTCTTCCCAACTTCTCCCAGCGACAATATGGCCAATCGTCAGAACAAGGGAACTTTGTCTAATCATTCCTCCCCTGAAAAGGAGAATGCCTGCAATGGTGTCGATGAGCCCGAGGGTCGCAAGACCTTCAGCTCGCCCGATAATTCCAAGAAAAGGGTTTTATCCGAAATGAACGAGATCAATGCCAGTAACTTGGCTCAGAGCAAGATGATGCAGGAGAGGGCCGCACGCGAGAAGGCCAAGCGGGAGAAGATCGAGCTGGAGCTGGCCACGAAAGAGGAGGCCAAGCTAGAAGAGGCGGAGAAAGAAGAAGACGAGAAAGAAGAGGCTGGGCCAGAAAAGGCCGAAGAAGAAACTGCTGAAAAAGAAGAGGCTGATCAGGAAGAGGAGGCTAATCTGGAAGAGCCGGCTGACCAGGAGGATCTTGCTGAGCTAGAGGAGTATGATGAGGAGGAGCCTGATGAGAAGGAGGATAATCAGCCAGAATGTATTGACGGAGAGAAGTACGAGACGGATCTGGATGAGCTGGACTAAAGCTTCGATTTCATTTCAAAATCAAATAAGACCAAGGAGGCTTGATATATGTAATCCAAATTAATCAAGGAATCTACAGTCTTCATATCAGCCACACAAACACTTGCAAAAAATACTTGACACACTTTCATTAACAAATTTTTATCAATAAATTAACCCCACTTTAAACTTTATATAAAAAAGTGCCAATTGAATTATTTCTTTATATATTTAGTTTAATTTTGGATCCGAATAACCCTTCTCTGTGTATACATATATGGTATATATTCCCCACAGAGATTGCCACCTGGCTGGCTGGTGGCCCATCAATTCCGCAATGACACCGGGAAGGCAGCAGCTCTCACAGGCGTTTGAATTGATGATGCCGTTGATGGCGCTGCCAGGAAAGTCTTACGACATGTTCGTTCACCTCGGCTCAAAGGCCGGATCCGTCTCCGCCTTCGTCTCTGCTGGCTCAGCTCAGCTCCATCTCCGTCTCCGTATCCATCCGTGTCTCTCGCAGCAGCCACAAAAGGCATGTGCCATTGTCGTCGTTTATGCCGTCAAAGTGAAAATCCATGCGAGAAATTATATGTCAAAGTTTCACTTTTGATATGCCAAAGCATTTGCGTACAGCCCACAGAGGAGGGCAGAGGAGTGGAGGCCTGGCCTCCCTCCATGCTGGCTTGGCACTGCAACGCGGCACGCTCCACTGACGCACTGACAAAGACACATTTGCGGGCCACACAGCGCTGAAGATGAGCAATGGCAATGACGACGGGCTGTCAGGAGGAGAAGGAGGAGGCGGAGGAGGAGCCGGAGCAGGGGGAGATGGAATGCGGGGCAGAGTGCTACCAATTACTCGAGTTACTGGGCCAGTGCAAGTCCGGGTCCGGGCTTAATTTTTCAGGTCGCTTGGCCAATGCCCTCAAGTGGGTTTTCCAATGGTTTTCCTGGGTATTTATATATTTTTTTATACTTGGTTTAAATTGTATTTATTTTAAATAATACGTAACTTAAGCTGCCATTTCTAGGTATTTATATCTTTTTGTATCTTATTTTAAACAAGATTAGTTTAAACTTTTAAATTCAAGGCTGATTGCAGGGTATTTGGCGAGGGCTATAACCCCTTGTCTCTTCTCCATTGCAGTTGGCTGTGCGTTGTCCTTTGGTTTTGTCTATGCGAAAAGGCAATGTCTTGCCATTCTTTGGACTTCCTCCTGCTCATCCTGGTCCCTGCTACCGCTTCCTCCATCCACTGTTTCCTTTCACTGTTGATTTTTCCTTGGGTCTGGCGCCATGACCTGCACTATTCCGAATTTCCACTGGGAGTATATCTGATCTGATCTGATAGGGAGCTCCTTAATTTCCAGAAGCTGGATCTGCCACTAATCTCTTTGTAAAGTATGAAGCCGAATCCAAAGAAGGCAGCATTTATAGTCTGTCGTTTTGTGTTAGTTATTTCTTGAATGTTAATTAAGTCGGAAAGAAACTCTTTCCTATTTTTAAATTTGAGGGGAATCTCAAGGGTCGATGCTTACCCGCTTCTGTGGGTCGGAATTTTCCGGCATCTTCGGCATCATTCAGAGCAATGTAATCTACCCTACTTTACAGTTGACAACCCAAAGAACCTCGCTGCTCCTCCTTCTCGTCGGTTGCGGTTGTGGCTCCGTTCGGAGCAAAGCATTTCCCGGGCTCTGGAGCTGCATTCCGGAATCCGGCCATGGATCCCGTCCTCAATCTGCCCGGGTGGCCGTTGCCTTATCAATGTTTGCGCACTTTGCTTAATTTGATTTCGCATTCGGCGCTTGGGCTTTGATTGTGTTTGTCCTCGCAGCTTAGCTGGCCACGCTGGCAGCCGCATTGAGTGGCCTGGTCACACTGCTCCTCCTCCTCCTCCCGGGGGGATTCCTCTGCGGAAAAGGCTTCTACCTCAAAGCAATCAAATACGATTACTGAGCTCTTTAGGGGAATATGAATTGTTTATAAATTTTAAAAAAATTAAATACGTGTTCATTTCTCTTCTTTTCTTGGAAATTAAATGTGGAGCCCACAGATTGATGACGGATCAATGGCTACGTAATTCTCTCGCTGAGATTCGGCTGGAGCTGGGAGTGCTCTACTCCTTCCCCCTGGGCAATCTGCAAGGCCCCTTGACAGCCTGTAGAATTTATCGGGCCCATTAAACGCAGCGCCACTCCCTTCCATTCGATTCTTCGCCAGCTATTGGCAGGGGAGGGAGGCATGGGTTGTGGGACCGGGTTCTCGCTATCCAGCAACACTGACATGCAATTTATAGCCCCGACTGGTAATTGACAGACGCTCCTTTACCCCTCAGCTGGGTCCTTGTTGCTGCTACTCCTTCGGTTTGCTACTGCTGCTGTTTATTAATAAATTGTCACTTGCATCTTCTGGACCCCGGGAGAGGCTGCACTGGGAGTAACTACCAGCTAAGAGGGGGATATCTGAAATTATAAATAGTATAAAAAAAATTTCAGCAGGTTTCATGAAGCTCTACAGCTGGAAACATCTTTAAAATATAGCTTAAAAAATATTTTAATAATTTATTTAGGTTTTTAGCAACAATTTGTTTCCTTCAGTGTGGCATTATGGTTGATGGCCACTTGGTTAGTGGGCAATGCTAGCAAGATAGAGAGGACGGCAGATGGAACCCATTGCCAATTAGTTGCCATCATCGTTCATCGCTCCCACCACCACCATCACGGACGCTACACGGGGCATCCTTCGTCTCCTTGCCTAATCCTTGTTAAGCTTCATCGAAATTGTATCATTATCATATCGAGGAGCTGCCATTTTTGGCTTACACAATGCCAGGGGGGGCTCCTGGAGTGGGCTTCCAGCTACCAGCTACCAGGTTTCCCGGTTTCCAGTGCCCAGCTTCGTGTTTCCTTGTCCCAGCTCCAATATCCAGCCACACTTGTCTGCTGTCTGGCTCCTGCTCCTGCGATACCTGAGGGAAATCTCCATCGCTCTCCATCGCCCAACGTCTCAATTCAATCTGTATAATGCTCGGCGCTTGGCTCGAGCTGCTTCTGCTCCTGTAGCTCCTGCAGCTCCCTTGCCCGTCTCCTCCGGCTTCGATTTTGGCGTTAACAAGTTTTCTCCTTACACTTCTTTATACGCTGCCGTCCGGAGTCCAGACTGTGGACTGCTCGGAGTTCGGAGCCGCAGCTTAAGCTGCTTATTATCCCGCGGGGCTTGGTCTGGGTATCCCTCCTCCGCCAGCACTAATTGGATTTCTCCGAACAATGGCCAACTATCCGGGACTTTTATCTACGGCAAAAAAGAAAAAATTCAATTGCAGCAAAATGGCAGCGAAAATATCATGAAATTATAAGCGAATAATTTAACCAAAAAAGAGAAACAAGTTGCTGTTTATGTTTGGTTAAAATATAATATTTTGATAGTTTCTTCTAAACCATTTGTATAAGTGAATTGTGTATATTTTTTGTTATAAATTATTACGACGACCACGTGCGCGCTTCCACTTATAGGAATCCCTCGCACCAATCGCTGAGGCACTTGTGACAGTCGTGGGCCTGCTTGGTGGTGGCCTGGCAGACCTCCTTCATCCAGTTTTTAAATAGCTCCTTGTCTTTCTTCAGCACCAGGAAACGTCCCAGCAAGACGTAGGCCTACACAGAAAGATATAATTTAGGGGAGATTATTATAATCAAGAAGGCAAACAAAAAGCTAATAATGCAGTTTGGAAAGGCTAGATTGACTCGGCTGCTAATGCTGAACAAGACCCCCTTCCCTGCATTGCAAAAGTACAAGCTACTAAAATTATAACCCCATGGTTAGATTTGTATTACCTTGTCGTAGCCCGCTTCGTTAAGGCGTTCTCCCAGCATCTCGCTGATGCCTGCCAATTCGGTCACCTCCTTGTCGCCCATCGGCTCGTTCACAAAATTATTGTGTTTCATAGAAGTAGAAGTAATAGTCATTGTTATATTTGTTTTATTATTCGAGTTCAGACAGATAAAGTTTGACGAATCGCCGAGAAAAGTGTGCCAGTAGATTTATCCAGCCGGAAGCCAAAAAAGCTTTGTAGACAGAGCGAGAATTTGGTCACACTAAATTCCTAATAATCCTATCCTATCGTACGATATTATCGATATATTGCGTATATTTTAAAAACCAAAAATAATTCTATAACATTTTAGATTTTAATTTTTATTTAAATAGCTCTTTGAGGGGTATGATCAGCATCAACAGCTGACTAGAAAAAAATTATCCAAAGGAGGCTTAAAATACTTCAGTAAATTTTTTGTAGGAGGCAGTAACCTTTTCATTTCCATTTCATTTTTCAAGTAAAAATTCCACAAGCACCAAATTACTTTTAAACGTAAGCCAGGGCTTTGGAAATTTATCCAAAAATTTTGTAAAATTCGCATCTGTAACAGGATCAACATGAATCGCCCGATACCCATCGAGGACGAGAAGAACCGCGCACAGAAGCAAGTCCGGAACACTCTGTTGACCTTCGCCATCACCTGTGCCCTCATCCGATTCGTACCGATCATTGTCAGAAAGATAAAATCCTAAAGCCAAACTGCAAATGGAGTTTTTCCAGATAAATAAATAGTAGACTTTTGCAAGGGTAAATATTTTTTGTGAGAAATAAGAGCTTCGATTTCAACTCAAACAATCGGGGGATTATTACAATATCCTTGGGGTCAAGGAATATGGTGTCCTGTCTGCGACTCCGCCTCATCACTTACGGTTAATTGTGATGGCAACGGGCGCAAAAAGAGCACATAATTCATGGCACTCGGACAGCAGTTACGGCGGCCAATGCTAACAAGCACATTAATAATATCGCAGGCAGACGCTCGAGTGGCGCCCATGGACCATTGGCCATTGGCAGCTTACTGGGCACAGTGGGGCTTTGGCTACAAAATCCAGAAAAATAAAATATAAAGAAAATATATAGAACATTTATCGGCACAATAAGGATAATTAGGGTTACTCTTCAATATATGTATTTAATAGCTTTTATAAGCTTCCAATAATAATTATTAATATTTAAAAAAAAAATCTAAAAAAATATATAGAAAATATATCGGGACAATCAGGATAATTAGGATATTTATACGGAGCAAGGACACCCATATAAAGGGTTCCTTTATTATATTCCCTCCTGTGAATCTCTGCCATCGGACGTGGTCGGGCATAAAATGCAGTTAATTAATCATTTCGGGGCAAAAGTAGTTGCGGCTTGATTTATCTTCGGCCATAAGCGCAGAGCGAGGGCCAAGTTAAAGTTTTTATCTGGCCAACTTCAGACTTTTGGGCTGGCGCCCAGGCCTTGGCCAAGTTATTATTAAAAAAAGAAAGCGTCAACAGGCAAACCGCAGCGACAGGAAGTCACTGGGAGGGACCAAGGACCCGGGAGTGGGTGTGGATTTCAAGGGGTTTAAGGGAATGCGAGGACTATGCAGCTATGAGTCGATTAATTAAACCACAAGCGTTTAAGCGGCAAACCGCAGGGTGGCAGTGAACCTGCCAAGTCGAGTTTACTTTAATTTGACTTTCCCTGGCACACACACACACTCGCACACACTCGCTCGCTCAAAGAGAGCGCCCGCATCCGGCGCTGTGCCCGCTGCTTCTTCAACTTCCGGTCCCCACGCGGCAGAGGCAATCAAATTTCGTATTAATTATGTGCTTAACCAAACACCTCTCACACACACACACGCACACACATGCATACTCTGGCAAAAGGACACTCCAACACACACGTACACACACGCAAAAGAGGACAACATCATCAACACGGCAAACAGCAACGAAAACAAGCGTAGGAGCAGGCCAAAACGGGCCCAGATAGTGCTGTTATTAAAGCTAACAAATAATAATTGAATAATAACTTTATTCATTTTAAGAGTTCTTAATTTATTTAGTTTGTGTTTCAATTTTAAGTACAAAATTATAATGAATAGGAGACCATATTTATTGGCATTTTTTAAACAAGACTTGAGGTTATTTTTATTTCTTTATACAAGTGCTCAAAATGAAATATAAATTTCATTTTCTTTATTATTTTTTTCTTTAATTTATTGAGAATTTTTTAAACTTGGAAATATTAAAGATTAAAATATGTTCATGCGTCCTAAAATATAGTCTTTTTTATTTGTTTTAAAATATGAAACTTAAAATGCTTTCCAGAACTTTAAAAACATAAAAAATAGCTTACAATTTCAGATATGAAATCTTAAAAATGTCCATTTCATAATAACTATAAAATGTTAATTTTAAGAAATTATTTTACAATTTCAAATAAAAAATTATAACCTCCAGGCCCTTGAATAGTAGAACTTTGTGCATTGACTCTTAAGCAAGTTTAAAGTTAATTTTATGTTTGAATACAAGTGCTTAAAATTAAATATAAAACTAAAATTTAAAAATTTAAATATATTCTTAATTTGTTATTATTATTTTCCTTGGAATTTTTCAAAATAAAAATGCTTAAATAAAATATAAAACAAAAACCAGCAAAATTGCATCCATTAAATATAGAAGCATTTTCATGCAGTCTTCTTTATTTTTAAAAATTTAAAATAATTTCCAATATTTCAAAAACATTAAAAAATAGCTTAAAATATCAGCTATTAAATTTGAAAAATTTCCATGCCATCTTCAAGTGCAGCCAAGCTGTCAGCACTCCCGGTGGCGGCTGCAAAATTGTAAACTGCCAGCCTGGGGATACGTTGACGCCGACGTCGGCGTCTGGCGTTGGCACAAAGATTATGCCGGAGTTCGTACCCGCAGTCATACCCTTCCCCTCAACCCCACATCCACCCCCACCCGTACCCGAATCCTGAAGCGGCAGAGGGTCAGGTCAGAGACAGGCGACAAGGCAATAATTCTTTGGTTTCCACATTCTGCCGCCGCCGTTGTCGAAAATCTTTTTGCGGCTTATGTTACACCATCCCCACCCAACACCCACCCATCCTGGCCGGCCAGATGCGGGTCCAGATGGGCGGCAGTGGGCGTGTCCGCTGGGACGGGCGACACATGTTACGGGTCAGTGGCGCTGCTGCTGCTGCTGCCGCCGCCGGCTTACACTTTTCGGTTTAGATTTTATTCATTTGCATATATGTATGCATGCTTATGATGAGATTTATTTATTTGATTCTCGCCCGTTCCCGTTCCCGTCCCCGCCCCCTTCCCCCCTTTTCTTGTAGCCTTTTTTTGTGAGCCACGATTATGGCCGGGTTAAGTTGCCGGCGATGTGGAATTTAAGCTAGGTGTCACATCGGGAAATAAATGGTTCGCATCAGAGCCACCAAGGGGACTGTCATAAGTGAAAAATATGCAGCGGAAGGATTTAGGGGTAAATATAATTTAATTTAGTCGAAAGCTTTAGTCTTTAAAAAGCCAGTTCCATCGGGTGATCAATTATCTCCATTTAATTTAAATTAATATAAACAGAACCCAACCGCATGCTCATCTCGGTGATTAATCATACACAAGTCCTGGGAAAATCATGGCAATGATTGATCATTGGCAGTTAAACAAATTATTTAATATAATTTATAATGTTGCCAGCTGAAGACTATAATTAATCAAAAATTAATGGGGTTTAAGTTGATGCTTTTTAAAAGAGTTGGATTTGTTACGAGTTGGAAATATATGCTTATTTATATATTATTTATTATGTTTTATTTTATTTTATTTTATTTTTTATTCAAAATTATGTTAAATATAAAAGCTCTATAGAAACCCCATATAAATTACGGGAGGAATAGATATATCGTTATCGTAATAGTGTCGTAAGGTAATCGTCGTTATACTTGCCTTATAACTGAAATATAAATATTAAAAAGACGGGAATCGTATGCTTAATTGTATCGGATACTTAATGCAACCTTTTAGCTCTTTGTGACGTTGCAATTAATCGACAATCGTATCGTTAAATTGACCTTTGCACAGTCACAACGCTGCGCGACGGTAAACATAACCCTAACCCAACTTTGCCACGCAACACGCGCGCGATTAGCAGCAATTTGTACAGCAATTAAGCTCAAGTGCAATAAAAGTTATTCGCAATGCAGCGGAGGGCCCTGCAGTTGGAGCTGGAGCTGGAGCTGGAGCAGGAGCAGGAGCTGGAAACTGTACAACAACGATGACAGCCACAAGTCTGGCAAGTCGGCAGCGGCGGAAGCCAAAAGTTATGCACTTTTTTAAGTGAATATGATTGCATTCTAATGTCAGGCCATAAATTAGCGACTCGGACTCGGGACTCGGGACTCCGGTACTCCGGGACTCGGGCACTCCGCCGGCGTGGCATGACCTCAGCTCAGCACGCGACCCACGCCGCCGCTGACAGCCAGCGACTACTCCTCCTCCTCCTGGCCAGGACCGAGCCGGAGCCCCCACTGCGCGTTACGTGACAGGAGTATGTGAAACTTTTCAACTTGAACGAAAATTTATATGCTGAAAAATATAGCGAGCGAAGCCAGTGGCACACCAACATCAACCAGCCAGCGGCCACAAAAAAAAAAAAAAAAAAAGGAAAAGAAAAGAAAGAATGAACGCGACCCATAAAAGAGTTTGGCAAACATAAAATACCCAGTAGTAGCGCCTGGATTCCCCATCTTCTTTACGATCCTGGCTATAAAAATATGGAATGGCTTCATTTGATTTCAAACTAGTTGCGATATGGCTGTAGGAACTATCAAAAAGATATAAGGTTTTATCAGAGAAGCTTTTGGTAGAGTTGGAAAAGTAGCTGGTTGTGAAATTTCAGGAATAAAAGATAAGGTTTGATTAGCTTATTTGTTGTTAATCGTTAAAATTAAAAAATTAACCCTAAATTGAGTATGCGAAGTTTTAATAATGCAGTTTTAGGCAGAGTTGTGACTTTTTTATTTAGAATTTTATTTGTCCCAAAAAAATATTCGTTTATTTGATTGGATTATTTGTTTATTTATTAATTTTTTTTGCTTATTTTTATTTGCTGAAGGACATACTATAGTTACATTTGCTTGCACATACCAAATTTTATTCCTTTACCTTTATTTTTGTTTTTTTTTTATATTTTTGTATTTGTTTCTTTATTTTACTTTAAATATTCTTTATTAATAGCAAAACTAGACTTGTTTTATTGAAATTTTAGTATAATATTCGCCAGAATTTAATTAGTTTCCCTTCCAAAATTCAGTCTATAAGCTCCCATAGTAGCCGAAGCTATATACCCTTTCCCACTAAGCCAGTTGAGGGATATCAAATAAAAATAAAAATAAAAAAGACAAAAATGTGCGAAAAATTTGCAGTGCATGACTGGGCCAAGGGGGGGCAGGGGGCGTGCGAATACACGAGTGCAAGGATGAGTACGCGGACGAGTGTGAGGACCAGGACGAGTGCGAGTGCTAGGACCAGGGCGAGAGGGTGTGATGAAGTAAGAGGTCTGCAAGTGGGGCGGCGACATTTTGTGCGGTTTCGCGTTCCACTGGAAAGTTGAACGTGCTCGGCTAATGCTGAGGCTGCTGCTTCTCCAGCAGATCCTGCCCCAGCACCAGCACATCTGGCGGCACTGCCAAGGCCAGGAAGGGCATCGGTGGGCGTGGCACTCGCATGCCGCCCCGCTCAGAAGATGAAAAACTGCTGCTGCGGATTACTACGTGGTGGTAAAAACTTTTTGACGCTTGATTTTCATGCTGATTGTAATCCTTGTGTGCGAGTATATTTTTTTTCTGCAGGCTGATCAAGGACCTGCGGCTAAATATGTCGGCAATTAAATTAGGATGGAACCATAAAAGTAATATATTAAATACAACCTTAAATGGTTTTAAATTTCCTTGAAAAATGTTAAAGAGAACTTTCTGTATATCCATACAAAAAATTCAAAAAAGGATTGCAAGTCCTGACTCTCTCTCTTGCAGACCCCTTGAGGGCCTGGAGTTGGACCCAATCTGGCCCTTTTCTCCCTCTGCGTATTTAACATTTTTGATGTGGAGGCGAAACTAATTTATTTCCATTAGTCGGCGACGTCGGCCACGTGAAATATTTCCGCTAATTGGCATTTGGCAGGCCACGCAGCAGCTCTAGCTGCCAGCTTTTGGTTGCTGGATTCAGGAGACCTTGGAAAACATTCTGTAATTAATCATTTTCTGATTTGGGCTCTCAGCGACTCCCCGGATTCCCTGGACTCCCTGGCATTTTTCCGGCCATTTGGCGTCACCGGCCTGGCATTTTACGCGCCGTTAAAGTTTAATCGAAAAAGTATTTTTGTGGCCAATGAAAATTCCAATAACGAAATGCCAGGCCAACAAACTTCTTGACTTTTTTATGCCCCGCAGGGCAGGAGAAGTTTTTCGGACCTGCCTCTGTGCACCTGTAGCCAGGTCACTTTGGCCTGATTAGTGGGGGGAAGTGGGGAGTGGATCCGTCTCCGGATGCGGACATTGATGCAGCCTGCAATTGACGGACAACGGACAACGGGGCTTGTTCGTCAAATTGTCTGGCTGGCTGGAACTTTCGAAATGTGTTGCGTTGTGGCCATTCGCAGGAAACAGGAAAACTTTTCCCCCTAATTCGCAATTAAGCAAAAATTCCACAAGCCCCCAGCTCCGGCTCCAGCTCCGCTTTTGGATGAGATTGTGGATCATCACCTAAATGGAGGCGCAAGTTAAAATGTTGAAAAATTGTGCGGCTTCACAGGGAGGATGGGATCAAAGGCGGAGCAATCGCAACTTTAATTGCATGGAATCAAGGCCCGGTCTGTAGGTAAGTATGCGCACTAAGTTGGCCAACAATATATAGGAAAAGTTTCAGTTTATTTAGTAATAAAGTTTGCTCTGGCATTTTTGTGGTGGTATTTTTCAGTAGTTGTGAATAAATATATACAGAGAATCATTTTATTTTACACCTGAAATAAAATAAGAGTTTATAAAAAGAATAATTAAAATGTATGATATTTATTTTTTTTTTTTTAGCAAAATACATATTTTATTATATATATTATATATTATGATATATATTATTTATTATTATTAGAAGTAGACATTTATTTAAAATATTTCTGAATTTTTATTATATTTTGTTCCCTTGTTTATAGGCTTTTATTTAAGTCAAAAGTTTCCTGTTTTATACGTGAGGGTCCTATAATTTTATTTTACATCTGAAATATAAAAAACAGTATGAAAATAATATTTAAAACAAAAGATATTTATTTCTCTAGTAAAATACATTTATTTATCGAAGAAGACTGTTATTGTGAGACCCATTCGTGCCTATTTGCCTGTATTTTTGAGGTCCCCCTTTGAACAGCTTCACCTTTTGGCAGCTTTGCACATCTCTTTAGCCATGAAATTTTTATCTTTTTGACACAAAATCAAAAAAATTCATACAAGTCTTACACCAAAAACCCAAAACAACTGCAAGCCACATACGAAGCTGATTTTAGCCAGGGAGCAGAATGGGAGCCAACGAATCGCATCCAGTTCAGGGGGGAGCAACTGCTCCGCAGCAGCAGGAGCCATCGCCGGAAGCCAAAGCTTCGCCAAAGGCGGAACCAGAATCGGAGGCAAAGACCACTCTGCCGAATCAGCAGGAACACCACAAGGAGCCACACTTGGTGGCCAATGGATATCCCAAGCTAGTGAGGCGTCGATCGAAGGCGGGCAACCTGATGACCGCCATCGAGGATATTCAGCGACTGTAAGTAATAGAAAATAGATAATGAAACAACGAATTAAAATTAAAAATTTTAATTTTTTAAATATTTTTATATGTAGATTTATTTTTAAGCCCAAAAATGATCATATAAAATTATGAATAAATATTAAAATTTTTTTTTTTAATTTTACGTTTAATTTTATTGTTTAAAATTTTAAACTTTATATGCAGATTTATTAACGTTAAAAAACTAACTCAGAACAGCTTTCCGAATTGAATTTAATGAATTTTTGGCTTAGTTATTGAATTTTTAAGCCCAAAAATGATCATATAAAATTATGAATAAATATTTAAAATTAATACACCTTAAGGGGTATAATAATTTCAGTCCGAAGCCCAAAAATCAGTGAAGGAATCATTTCCGACCCTATAAATCATATATATTCTTGATCAGCATTAAAAACAGAATCGATCTAGACATGTTTGCAAGAAATTTAAAAATCGTAATTTTTTTTTTTAATTTTATGTTTAATTTTATTGCTTAAAGAGGTAAAGAAAAATCAAAAAATTTTGAATTGGTTAAATTTGTAATCTTTATATGCAGATTTATTACCCATAAAAAAACTAACTCAGAACAGCTTTCCAAATTGAATTTAATGCATTTTTGGCTTAGTTATTGAATTTTTAAGCCCAAAAATGATCATATAAAATTATGAATAAATAGTTAAAATTAATACACCTTAAGGGGTATAATAATTTCAGTCCGAAGCCCAAAAATCAGTGAAGGACTCATTTCCGACCCTATAAATCATATATATTCTTGATCAGCATTAAAAACAGAATCGATCTAGACATGTTTGCAAGAAAATTAAAAATTTTAATTTTTTTTTTAAATTTTATGTTTAATTTTATTGTTTAAGGAGGTAAAGAAAAATCGAAAAATTTTAAATTGGTTAAATTTGTAATCTTTATATGCAGATTTATTACCCATAAAAAAACTAACTCAGAACAGCTTTCCAAATTGAATTTAATGCATTTTTGGCTTAGTTATTGAATTTTTAAGCCCAAAAATGATCATATAAAATTATGAATAAATAGTTAAAATTAATACACCTTAAGGGGTATAATAATTTCAGTCCGAAGCCAAAAAATCAGGGAAGGACCCATTTCCGACCCTATAAATCATATATATTCTTGCTCAGCATTAAAAACAGAATCGATCTAGACATGTTTGCAAGAAAATTAAAAATTTTAATTTTTTTTAAATTTTATGTTTAATTTTATTGTTTAAGGAGGTAAAGAAAAATCGAAAAATTTTAAATTGGTTAAATTTGTAATCTTTATATGCAGATTTATTACCCATAAAAAAACTAACTCAGAACAGCTTTCCAAATTGAATTTAATGCATTTTTGGCTTAGTTACTGAATTTTTAAGCCCAAAAATGATCATATAAAATTATGAATAAATATTTAAAATTAATACACCTTAAGGGGTATAATAATTTCAGTCCGAAGCCAAAAAATCAGGGAAGGACTCATTTCCGACACTATAAATCATATATATTCTTGATCAGCATTAAAAACAGAATCGATCTAGACATGTTTGCAAGAAAATTAAAAATTTTAATTTTTTTTTAAATTTTATGTTTAATTTTATTGTTTAAGGAGGTAAAGAAAAATCGAAAAATTTTTAATTGGTTAAATTTGTAATCTTTATATGCAGATTTATTAACCATAAAAAAACGAACTCAGAACAGCTTTCCGAATTGAATTTAATGAATTTTTGGCTTAGTTATTGAATTTTTAAGCCCAAAAATGATCATATAAAATTATGAATAAATATTTAAAATTTAATACACCGTAAGGGGTATAATAATTTCAGTCCGAAGCCAGAAAATCAGGGAAGGACCCATTTCCGACCCTATAAATCATATATATTCTTGATCAGCATTAAAAACAGAATCGATCTAGACATGTTTGCAAGAAAATTAAAAATTTTAATTTTTTTTTAAATTTTATGTTTAATTTTATTGTTTAAGGAGGTAAAGAAAAATCGAAAAATTTTAAATTGGTTAAATTTGTAATCTTTATATGCAGATTTATTAACGTTAAAAAACTAACTCAGAACAGCTTTCCGAATTGAATTTAATGAATTTTTGGCTTAGTTATTGAATTTTTAAGCCCAAAAATGATCATATAAAATTATGAATAAATAGTTAAAATTAATACACCTTAAGGGGTATAATAATTTCAGTCCGAAGCCCAAAAATCAGTGAAGGACTCATTTCCGACCCTATAAATCATATATATTCTTGATCAGCATTAAAAACAGAATCGATCTAGACATGTTTGCAAGAAAATTAAAAATCGTAATTTTTTTTTTTATTTTTATGTTTAATTTTATTGTTTAAGGAGGTAAAGAAAAATCGAAAAATTTTAAATTGGTTAAATTTGTAATCTTTATATGCAGATTTATTAACCTTAAAAAAACTAGCTCAGAACAGCTTTCCAAATTGAATTTAATGCATTTTTGGCTTAGTTATTGAATTTTTAAGCCCAAAAATGATCATATAAAATTATGAATAAATATTTAAAATTAATACACCTTAAGGGGTATAATAATTTCAGTCCGAAGCCAAAAAATCAGGGAAGGTCTCATTTCCGACCCTATAAATCATATATATTCTTGATCAGCATTAAAAACAGAATCGATCTAGACATGTTTGCAAGAAAATTAAAAATTTTAATTTTTTTTTAAATTTTATGTTTAATTTTATTGTTTAAGGAGGTAAAGAAAAATCGAAAAATTTTAAATTGGTTAAATTTGTAATCTTTATATGCAGATTTATTAACCATAAAAAAACGAACTCAGAACAGCTTTCCAAATTGAATTTAATGCATTTTTGGCTTAGTTATTGAGTTTTTAAGCCCAAAAATGATCATATAAAATTATGAATAAATATTTAAAATTTATACACCTTAAGGAGTACAATAATTTCAGTCCGAAGCCCAAAAATCAGTGAAGGACTCATTTCCGACCCTATAAATCATATATATTCTTGATCAGCATTAAAAACAGAATCGATCTAGACATGTTTGCAAGAAATTTAAAAATCGTAATTTTTTTTTTAAATTTTATGTTTAATTTTATTGTTTAAAGAGGTAAAGAAAAATCAAAAAATTTTGAATTGGTTAAATTTGTAATCTTTATATGCAGATTTATTACCCATAAAAAAACTAACTCAGAACAGCTTTCCAAATTGAATTTAATGCATTTTTGGCTTAGTTATTGAGTTTTTAAGCCCAAAAATGATCATATAAAATTATGAATAAATATTTAAAATTTATACACCTTAAGGAGTATAATAATTTCAGTCCGAAGCCCAAAAATCAGTGAAGGACTCATTTCCGACCCTATAAATCATATATATTCTTGATCAGCATTAAAAACAGAATCGATCTAGACATGTTTGCAAGAAAATTAAAAATCGTAATTTTTTTTTTTATTTTTATGTTTAATTTTATTGTTTAAGGAGGTAAAGAAAAATCGAAAAATTTTAAATTGGTTAAATTTGTAATCTTTATATGCAGATTTATTAACCTTAAAAAAACTAGCTCAGAACAGCTTTCCAAATTGAATTTAATGCATTTTTGGCTTAGTTATTGAATTTTTAAGCCCAAAAATGATCATATAAAATTATGAATAAATATTTAAAATTTAATACACCGTAAGGGGTATAATAATTTCAGTCCGAAGCCAAAAAATCAGGGAAGGACTCATTTCCGACCCTATAAATCATATATATTCTTGATCAGCATTAAAAACAGAATCGATCTAGACATGTTTGCAAGAAAATTAAAAATTTTAATTTTTTTTTAAATTTTATGTTTAATTTTATTGTTTAAGGAGGTAAAGAAAAATCGAAAAATTTTAAATTGGTTAAATTTGTAATCTTTATATGCAGATTTATTAACCATAAAAAAACGAACTCAGAACAGCTTTCCAAATTGAATTTAATGCATTTTTGGCTTAGTTATTGAGTTTTTAAGCCCAAAAATGATCATATAAAATTATGAATAAATATTTAAAATTTATACACCTTAAGGAGTATAATAATTTCAGTCCGAAGCCCAAAAATCAGTGAAGGACTCATTTCCGACCCTATAAATCATATATATTCTTGATCAGCATTAAAAACAGAATCGATCTAGACATGTTTGCAAGAAAATTAAAAATCGTAATTTTTTTTTTTTTTTTTTATGTTTAATTTTATTGTTTAAGGAGGTAAAGAAAAATCGAAAAATTTTAAATTGGTTAAATTTGTAATCTTTATATGCAGATTTATTAACCATAAAAAAACGAACTCAGAACAGCTTTCCGAATTGAATTTAATGAATTTTTGGCTTAGTTATTGAATTTTTAAGCCCAAAAATGATCATATAAAATTATGAATAAATATTTAAAATTTAATACACCGTAAGGGGTATAATAATTTCAGTCCGAAGCCAGAAAATCAGGGAAGGACCCATTTCCGACCCTATAAATCATATATATTCTTGATCAGCATTAAAAACAGAATCGATCTAGACATGTTTGCAAGAAAATTAAAAATTTTAATTTTTTTTTAAATTTTATGTTTAATTTTATTGTTTAAGGAGGTAAAGAAAAATCGAAAAATTTTAAATTGGTTAAATTTGTAATCTTTATATGCAGATTTATTAACGTTAAAAAACTAACTCAGAACAGCTTTCCGAATTGAATTTAATGAATTTTTGGCTTAGTTATTGAATTTTTAAGCCCAAAAATGATCATATAAAATTATGAATAAATAGTTAAAATTAATACACCTTAAGGGGTATAATAATTTCAGTCCGAAGCCCAAAAATCAGTGAAGGACTCATTTCCGACCCTATAAATCATATATATTCTTGATCAGCATTAAAAACAGAATCGATCTAGACATGTTTGCAAGAAAATTAAAAATCGTAATTTTTTTTTTTATTTTTATGTTTAATTTTATTGTTTAAGGAGGTAAAGAAAAAATCGAAAAATTTTAAATTGGTTAAATTTGTAATCTTTATATGCAGATTTATTAACCTTAAAAAAACTAGCTCAGAACAGCTTTCCAAATTGAATTTAATGCATTTTTGGCTTAGTTATTGAATTTTTAAGCCCAAAAATGATCATATAAAATTATGAATAAATATTTAAAATTAATACACCTTAAGGGGTATAATAATTTCAGTCCGAAGCCAAAAAATCAGGGAAGGACTCATTTCCGACCCTATAAATCATATATATTCTTGATCAGCATTAAAAACAGAATCGATCTAGACATGTTTGCAAGAAAATTAAAAATTTTAATTTTTTTTTAAATTTTATGTTTAATTTTATTGTTTAAGGAGGTAAAGAAAAATCGAAAAATTTTAAATTGGTTAAATTTGTAATCTTTATATGCAGATTTATTAACCATAAAAAAACGAACTCAGAACAGCTTTCCAAATTGAATTTAATGCATTTTTGGCTTAGTTATTGAATTTTTAAGCCCAAAAATGATCATATAAAATTATGAATAAATAGTTAAAATTAATACACCTTAAGGGGTATAATAATTTCAGTCCGAAGCCCAAAAATCAGTGAAGGACTCATTTCCGACCCTATAAATCATATATATTCTTGATCAGCATTAAAAACAGAATCGATCTAGACATGTTTGCAAGAAAATTAAAAATCGTAATTTTTTTTTTTTTTTTTTTATGTTTAATTTTATTGTTTAAGGAGGTAAAGAAAAATCGAAAAATTTTAAATTGGTTAAATTTGTAATCTTTATATGCAGATTTATTAACCATAAAAAAACGAACTCAGAACAGCTTTCCGAATTGAATTTAATGAATTTTTGGCTTAGTTATTGAATTTTTAAGCCCAAAAATGATCATATAAAATTATGAATAAATATTTAAAATTTAATACACCGTAAGGGGTATAATAATTTCAGTCCGAAGCCAAAAAATCAGGGAAGGACTCATTTCCGACCCTATAAATCATATATATTCTTGATCAGCATTAAAAACAGAATCGATCTAGACATGTTTGCAAGAAAATTAAAAATTTTAATTTTTTTTTAAATTTTATGTTTAATTTTATTGTTTAAGGAGGTAAAGAAAAATCGAAAAATTTTAAATTGGTTAAATTTGAAATCTTTATATGCAGATTTATTAACCATAAAAAAACGAATTCAGAACAGCTTTCCAAATTGAATTTAATGCATTTTTGGCTTAGTTACTGAATTTTTAAGCCCAAAAATGATCATATAAAATTATGAATAAATATTTAAAATTAATACACCTTAAGGGGTATAATAATTTCAGTCCGAAGCCAGAAAATCAGGGAAGGACCCATTTCCGACCCTATAAATCATATATATTCTTGATCAGCATTAAAAACAGAATCGATCTAGACATGTTTGCAAGAAAATTAAAAATTTTAATTTTTTTTTAAATTTTATGTTTAATTTTATTGTTTAAGGAGGTAAAGAAAAATCGAAAAATTTTAAATTGGTTAAATTTGTAATCTTTATATGCAGATTTATTAACCATAAAAAAACGAACTCAGAACAGCTTTCCAAATTGAATTTAATGCATTTTTGGCTTAGTTATTGAATTTTTAAGCCCAAAAATGATCATATAAAATTATGAATAAATAGTTAAAATTAATACACCTTAAGGGGTATAATAATTTCAGTCCGAAGCCAGAAAATCAGGGAAGGACCCATTTCCGACCCTATAAATCATATATATTCTTGATCAGCATTAAAAACAGAATCGATCTAGACATGTTTGCAAGAAAATTAAAAATCGTAATTTTTTTTTTTTATTTTTATGTTTAATTTTATTGTTTAAGGAGGTAAAGAAAAATCGAAAAATTTTAAATTGGTTAAATTTGTAATCTTTATATGCAGATTTATTAACCTTAAAAAAACTAGCTCAGAACAGCTTTCCAAATTGAATTTAATGCATTTTTGGCTTAGTTATTGAATTTTTAAGCCCAAAAATGATCATATTAAATTAGGAATAAATATTTAAAATTAATACACCTTAAGGAGTATAATAATTTCAGTCCGAAGCTCAAAAATCAGTGAAGGACTCATTTCCGACCCTATAAATCATATATATTCTTGATCAGAATGAACAGCAGAATCGATCTAGACATGTTTGCAAGAAAATTAAAAATTTTAATTTTTTTTTTAATTTTATGTTTAATTTTATTGTCTAAGGAGGTAAAGAAAAATCGAAAAATTTTAAATTGGTTAAATATTTATTCTTTATATGCAGATTTATTAACCTTAAAAAAACTAACTCAGAACAGCTTTCCGAATTGAATTTAATGCATTTTTGGCTTAGTTATTGAATTTGGATCCTTAATTAATTATTAATAATTATTAATTGTACAAAATTGTCCTCGATTTTTGTTTTTCAGCCCCACGGAGGCCATCTACCAGGAGTTTGACCGTCTGCTAATCCACGCCCAGGGCCAGATCAAGAAGGTGGCCGAGATGCCCTGCGTGAGTCTGGCCAATCGGCTGAAGGACTGCCTATATCAAAATCGCCAGCGCTCCTGCGAGTGCTTTCCGGCCATGGAGCAGTACCGCCAGTGCGTCCTCCGGGCCAGCCAAGAGCGCGTGGACGACATGTCGGCCACGGAGCCCGTTATGATCCCAGTGGTGCCGCCGCAGCCAGTGCCACGTCCCGCTAAGCCGCCGCAACAGCAGCGTTCGCAGCGCAGCTGGTGGCGGCCCTGGACCTGGTTTAAGTAGGATTTTTATACCGGTTTTTCCGGACTCCTCCCATAAACAAGCCGAAACCGAAACCGAACCATCAACAGCGGAGGCCTTCGCTAGAGCGGCCTCAGACCGAATAAAGAAATGGCTTTATATTAATTAAAAGCAGAAACTAGAATCCATTTAACTGCCGTCAGGTGCTGGGAATTTCCACAGGACTTGGCCACAGTGTTGGCTCCGCTTTTGGGGAAATTGATAGTGCACTTGTTAGTGTCCAAGCTGCCTTGGTAAAAATTCAATTTGGCTTGAAATTTCCTTTTCAGAGGGAGGAGACAGGCTCCTGAAGAGAACATTTTTACAAGTCCTTGGGGTTAGTTATTTGTGTTAAAGTTTATCTGTCGGCATTTGGATCAAGTCCGTTTCTTTAGAATATTTTTACAAGATTTTCAGGCTTCAAGATTGTCTAGTAATTTCCATTTATTTTCTATTTTATTGTGTGGTTGCTGTTTACTATATGTGGCTCGGTCTGTCCATCATAACCAGCTGTCACTGTGGCGGACAGGCGAGAGGTGCGCTTATGAAATGCAGATTCACATTCACTAGACGGAGATGAGGATAAGGATGAAGATGCACATGCCAGCTCCAGTTGCACATTAGCCCTCGGGGGCCCTGCCTGTGTGTGTGTGTCTGTCTATTCATTCATTTAAATGTCTATATCATGTGGCCAGAAGGGGGAGAGGAGCAGGAGGAGCAGGCCAGGAGTCGACGGCGGGAATGCAGAATTGCAATTTGCAATAAAAGTAAATCTGCTCTGGCGCCGAACTCCGGCTGGCTGGCTCCTTACATTGTTAGTCCTTGCCTAGGTCCTTTGCCCGACCCCGAAAACCAGCTGTCGTACACCGTAACCTAACCCCCAGATCTTGAATATATATACGGGGAAAATCCTTGGGACTTGAGGCTGCTGATTTCTCTCGGTGTGGTGTGTGTGCTCACGGTTTCTGGTTGAAAGCCTTTCGGGCAAGGTAAGCAAACATTAGAATTTATTAAATCCAGCTCCTGCAAGCCGCTTGCAAAAAAACAAAACGAAAAAAAAGGAAACAAAAAAAAAAAAAAAGGGGGGAAAAACAGAAAATAGGGAGAAAAATTATTGCATATAAAGCTCACCTTGCTGTGGAGCACATTCAACTTTTGGGGGACTCACATACGGCGGACACCAGATTCGTTTGTATTATCTCGACACACACACACACACACACACCCGGCACATATTTGCCCGCACATAATCCAACTTTGCTTTTAGCATTTGGCAAGACAAACAAAATGGCAGCCCCAAAAAGGAGTTATCCTGCCGCTACACTGGCCAAAAGCAACAAAAAAAGATCTTATACAATCAGTTTTTTGGATTGAAAGCGCTTATATCCTTTGGCTTTAATATATTTTTATTCTCTTAAGAAATATCTTAAATCCTTAGTGAATAAGGGAGTCCTTTGGCTTTTGTAAATTGTTATTCTCTTAAAAAATATATTTGAAATCTTGAGAAAACACGTGATTTTCTAGATTTTTCTGCCCTACTTTTTGCTAGATTTTAGGTAATCCTTTCTTTCAGGACCCTCTAAAGTCCCATGTCATTTCTTGCCAAATCTTGCGATTATTTGTTTAAGCCGGCGGAATCAAGGAAATGCTAAAAAAGTAATGCAAACTGCCTGTATTTGAGTTATTCGCAGGATTTGCCGGGTAAGTTGTTGCTTCCTCAGGAAGCAGGCGATTTATTATCGCAACTTAATCTCGCAAAAACACGTCAAACCTGAAAATCCTCCAGCTACACCTTGCTCCTCATTCTCCAAAGGGGTGCGTGTGTGTGTAGGTGTGCATACATTTGGCTGCTCGCCGTTGGCTTCATAAAAAACCAACTACATGGAGTGCGCATAGCAACAGCAACAAAAAAAGTGAGCAGGAAAACATGCAGGCAAATCACAGTGTACAGCGCGCACTCACTTCTTTTTTTTTGCTTTTCTTGAGCCCCCTTGACAGCCCCGCCCCTGGAAATTTCCATTCAGCTGCCCTTGTACGGCGGTTACACTGAAAAATAAATATGGGAAAGGTCGAACAGTTATAAGAAGAGTTTTAGGAATTTAGAAATTTTTTAGAAATGTATTTAATCCTTGGAAAATAAGGGGTAATCTGTTGGCTTTTAGAAAAAAAAAAATATTTTAAGCCCTCTTTTATAGACTTTTATTCTCTTAAGAAATATTTTTAATCCTTATCCTTGGCTTTGATAGATTTTTTAATATCTTTAAAAATAAATTTGAAATCCTTAGAATAATCTTTTGACTATGATAGATCTTTATTCTCTTAACAAATATATTAAATCCCTAGAAAAGCAGGGAGTAATTTGGCTTTTATATATTTTTAATCTCTTAAAAATATTTAAAGTCCCTAGAAAATAAGGAAACCCCTTGTATTTCATAGATTTTTATTTTCTTAAAAGCATATTAAATCTTTAGAAAATAAGAGGGAATCCTTTGGCTTTTTGAAAGATTACCAATGACCTTTGAACCTCGGTGAAGGCCTTAAGTTGAATCTCTCTCTTTACGCCATTTAAAATCAATAAAAAAATGTATAACAAATAAATAAAAATCTTTGAGTGCAGTTCGTTTAGCCGTGTGTTTTCCGTTTTTGGGTTTTTTTTGGTAACAATTTTTGCCCATTTCCCCTGCTCGCGCTCTGTGCTCCGCCCCCTCTCCCTCCGCCCTTTTTCTATTTTCCTCGTTGTGCTATAAAGATTATTATGAAAGTATTTTGCTAAGCTTTCTGAGTTGGGATGAGATGTGCTGGGCTGGGGCTTGAGGTTCGGGGTTCTCCGGGTTCCGGGTTTTTCGAGTTTAGGTCCTGGCGGCTGGCTGGCATCTCTGTTGCTCGCGCTATCTGGCCCAGCATCCGTCTCTGTCATGCCATTTGGCTGGCACTCTTGAGGCCTTAAGTGTGCATGCATTATGCCATGTGCAGGACCCGCCCCGTCCCTCCCCGCCGCGTATAATATGCATGCATGGATAATTTATCAGGACACACACTCGCACAGGGCACGGCTTTAAATTTGATTTAAGCCACGTCGCCGCCAAATGTCCATGTCCACTTGGGTTGTGTTGACCCAACTGACAGCGCGGCTCAAATGCAATTAAATGCTTCCAAATCAAGCACAAATCTCGGCTGAAAAAAACCAGAAAATGTCAGTGTATGGTTTAACATTTAAATGGAAAATGTTTCCAGGGGATAATTACTTAATAATTTATGAAAACCAAGAGTTCGGGTTAGGAAATAGCCTTTATTTGTATTAAACTAAGATTTCATTTTCCCTAGTAATTATTTATTAATTAATTATGTATATTATTATATATTTATATTAAATATTATTTATATTTATATTTATATATATTTATATTTATTAGTTTATTATTTAATATGCATTTATATATTAAAAACTTGACCCTAAAAGTCCCGCCTTATTGGACACGAAACTATGAATCTCACGGCTCTGCTGAAGCGTTAATACCTAGGACTCCAGCTCATCCTGGCTTCCACACATACACACACACACACAACCACACACACACGACCCCAAATCCGTGGCCCTAATCCGCTGTCCGGGGATTTTCAGGAACGGAACCGAACCGAACGGAACGGAAAGGATAGGATCCGAGGAGATGCCTTGCCAAGGAGTAACAGCCTGGCTTTGTGCCCCCTGCCTCACGGCGGTCTTGATGTGCGCGTGTAGTCGCCTCTTGTTTTTTTTTTTGTTGTTGTTGTTTTTGGGGAATGTTCCTCATCCGCCGCAGATGCCGGCAGATGGGATATGGAAATGTCTTGGCCTGGGCATGGGCATGGGCACATGGAAATCGGATAGAGCCAAAGTTGTTTGTTTTTATGGTGTCTTCAGCTGTCTTCTTTTCGGTGTCGGCGTTGCATAAGTGCATTTGTCTGTTATCCCGACGAGCTTTTGTTTCGCACATCTACCAGCTCCATTTTTCAACCATTTCCACCCACACATACCCAGAGATTTTCCCCTATTTTCCCCCATTTTCCCCACACTAGTACAGCGGGCACTTGTTTTCAACGGAATCAATTTAGCGTAAGAAGTTCCCAGTTCCCAGCGCAAGTTCTTGTCATGTGCAGGGCCAAAGGGGGGAGAAGGACTCTTCGGTCAGGGGGGGGAGGGTCAGGCAGTGTGTGGTGTGTGTGTGTGTGGTGCAATTATGCCAACGACAGCTGCCTGGCAGCCTCGTCGTCGCTCTATTAATCAAAAGTTATACAAAAAGCCAGCGAACTTCGCCACACGACTTGCCCCGCTCTCACATAGAGCTCTTTCCCGGCTTTCCACGCTTTCCTCCGCCCACCGCCCACCGCTTTTCCTGAGCTCCCCTATTCCCAGCTCGCTTTAGCCAGCTTTTGCTCCTAGCGCCGGCTTCGGCTCCGCTTCCTCATCCTGTGTGTTCTTGTTGTTTGCAATTTAACTTTGCTGTGAGCGAGGCAGCCTCTTCATGAGTTTGGCCCAAGCTTATGTGAGCATACACTGGAAAAAATGCAAAATACAAAGCAAATTTCTGGCCAGTTGAGATTTATAAACACCTAGTTGTTTTTTCCCAGTGCACGTTATCAGTGTATGAGTGGCCCGGAGTGAGTAAAAACAAGATATAATATTTTATGAAAGCTTTGGCAACCACTGCCCCTTGGCAGCCACTTCGAGCCACCTCCCAACCACCTCCCTGCCCCACCTCCTCTCCCTTCCTCCTCTGTGGACCCTGAAACTCATTGCCCATAAATAAATAAAGCAGCCAAACACAATCAAAAACCAATGAAGCAGACCAGCAGCCACAAATGACAGAAGGAGCAGCCCAGTTGCGACCTTAGCCCCAACTCCATCATCGTCCTCATCATCGTTGGTCCTGGTCGTTGTGTCAGCTTTTTGTCCTGGAAACTCGGTAACTCTGTAACTCGGCAGAACTGGGAACTGGGAGCTGGGAACTTGGAACTTGAAACTAGTGGAGTGGAGGAGCTGTCGAGCTTAGTTGGCCCTGACTTGGAGCCATAATCTGTTATATCAGCAGTCAGTTTTCCCGGCTCCCGTGTGCTTCGTTCCGAATCATCGTTACTTATACGCAGTAAGGTCCCGAGGATCTTAAATGTCCAGGCAAGGATATTGCCTATTACCTGTGCAATGCGAGGTGCAATGGCCTCTCCTTCAAAACAACCTTCCACACTCCCTCTCTCAAGGGCTTGTCTCAATAATTTGAAACGCTACAAAGTTTTTCGCTTAATTTCATTTGCAGCCGCCTTCTTCTAACTCGATTCGCGGGACAACTTTTTAATTGCCAGGCGTCGTCCACATTCCACATACGATGTCCTGGCAAGTCCTGGCAAGTGTGTGTGTGTGGGGGAAGTGTTAATAAATAAACAGTTCCTTTGGATGGGGTACAGCTGAGGGAGGGGTTAACTTTCGCTAAAGTAGTTCCCTGTTTTTCTTAAGCATTTTCATGTCGCCACTAATGCAGGGACAAGAGGTCCTTCAAATAATCTAGGGACTACATTTGGTTATTTTTTGGACTACTAAGGGGATTTTGTAAAAGCATATTGATAAATTTATACATTTTTTAAGGGAAATAGTATAAAAAGAAAATTAAATAATAAACCAGGAAAGTCGAACTTTTGGATTTGATTTCCATTTGAAAGAAGTTCTTGGGTTAATTTTCTTATCTATTAACGACATTCAGTAAAAATATATTTAACAAATAAATATAAATATTATATAATGGAAAATAATATTAATTACATTGAGAAAATTATATAATATCCAAGGAAGTGGAATTAAGTCTTTCGGTTAATTTGCCACCTTTTGGAGTTGATTTCCGTTTGAAACACCTCCTTGGAGAAATTTTTAGTATATAGATTATATGTAGCAAAAAGATTCTTTAAACATATATTAAATTAATGAGTTTATAGTCCAAGGAAATAATATTAATTAAATTATGTTTAATCTAAATAATATCCCAGGAAGAGGAAGTATGTCTTTCGGTTAATTTACCACCTTTTGGAGTTGATTTCCCTTCAAAACCAAATCCTTGGGATAATTTCCTCAGTATATAGATTAATATGTAAATGTATATGCTGTAATTTCCTTAGTATACAGATTAATATGTCTTTATATATATACCTTCAGGATCTGCTTTAATTCGTGACGCTGCGTGATTTGCTTTTCATTTGCCCTAAACGTTTGCGCCATTTGACTTAATGAAGCTTAAAGACAATAAAACGCTTAAGCACACAACTTTGCCAAAGCCACCCATGGCCCCCAATTCTCCTACACCCTACACCCCCCACAGTGTGTGTGTGTGTGTGTGTTTGTGTGGCACAACAACATTGTGTCAACGTCAAACGTCTTTTTCTTGCAACTTTCTGGGCTCGCGTCATAATTTCTATGAATTTTATACACTTTGATAAGCATTCCATTGGCATGCGAGGCACGTTCGCGTTCGTGGACCATCCTTACAGGCTGCACTGAAAGAAATATATGTTTAGTTAAGTGTTTTTGACGGGATTTCTAGCTTTCAAGGGATTTATTTATAACTTTTATGAGAATAAAGTAAATAGTATGAAGAAAAATAGGTATTTCCTTTTTTTAAAAAGTAAATTAATATTTTTACCAAACTTTTCTTTGGGCAGTGTAAAAGCCGCCGCCCCCTTTTGACTGTTTGTTTTGTGAACTTCTGCCGCCGTCCATGTAAATCAGGCCAAGCGACAATTAAACGCGCCAAGCACGACAATACTTAGGGCTAATGGCCACGGACCTGGACTGGCCAGGACCTCGGACAATCGGTGGGTGGGAAAATGGCTGGGAAAATCGAGGTGCTGGTGGCAAGCCTTTGGCGCTTCCGCTCCCATTTCCGCTCGTTGGCCGAAAAGTGTAAACAATTAAATTTTAATTAGAATTCGCATCGCTTGACATGCGACATGGAAATGGGAATGGAAATGGGAATGGACATGGGGTGCCAGCAAAATGTCAGTTGCCGGAAAAGTGGAAAAGCCACGGGGGGGTGGTGGTGGTGATGGTGAAGTCTGCAACTGGAAGTCATGCACAGTCACACTCACACTCACACACACCGAAAACCGCACCTCCGATCTCCGCCACAGGCACACAGACATTTCATTTCCGTTCTCGTCTGTTGGTTAATTTATTGGGCACCTTCCACGTTGCTTCCTGCGACCCCTGCGACCCCTTATTGACCCCCCCTTGGAGGTGCCGGGCTTGTAAATTAAACGGCTGACAGTTAATAGAAAACCGAAAGCCTCTCATTTGGCACATTTGCGGTGGTCGTCGGCGCACTCGGTGCGGTTTGATGGATTGCCGGCTTAGTTTTAGCCAGTTAACTGCCGCACTCGACAATTTATGCTACCAATTCCGGGTAAGGTGTCGAGTCGAGGCCCGTAAAATACGATGGCGCCAGCGATGGAGAGGTGAGAAAACAACGCCCTTAATGCCCAAATTGTGGCTAATGAAAATGTCTAAAATTGCTCAGATGATTTGTTGATTTACCCGAGCGAGAGCCCGAGGGCTTTCAGCGAGTGGCCTAACAAGGTCATAAAGATTACAGGTCAACAAAAGAGCAAATAATATACAACACCTCCTGACACACACACACACACTCACAGCAAGCACAACATGGCGAGCCCAAGGTAATTTTTATACCCGTGCAGGGTATTATAATTTCAGTCAGAAGTTTGCTACGCAGTGAAGGAGACCTTTCCGACCCTACAAACCATATATATTCTTGATCAGCATCAACAGGGGAATCTTTCTAGATATGTCAGGAAGAAATCGATTTTTTGGCCATTTTTGCGAAATTTGATAAGGTACATTTGATACATCATTAAAATTAGCAAAAATGGCCAAAAATTTTGATTTCTTAAAATTTAAAATTTGGTATGCAGTTTTTTTAAATTAATAAAAACTCACACAAAACTGCTTTCCGAATCGAAATTAATGCATTTTTGGCTGAGTTTGGCTGGCCAAAGTTAGCTTTCTTTCTTGTTAAGAATTTTTTGATAAGAAAAATATAATACATTTAATAATAATAAATGAAAATTTTAGTAATAAGGCAACTACTGAAAATATTTGATAATCAAAATATAATACATTTAATGAAATAATATTCAAGGGATATAACAAATATTTTTATACGATCCATAAGATGGAATCAGTTACGAGTCTAAACTTCCTGGAAGTCTCTACTTCTCTTGAGTCTTGTGAGTTTCCAATTGCGGAATACGACTCTCGATCTCGCGCTTCAGTTCCAGTAGAGAGTTCAAATCCTTGCTCAAGAGCATCTCCTCGAAGGCCATCAGTCTGTTGATATGCGACATGGTCAAAGATGATTTTCCAGAGCCACAGTCTGGGAAAGGAAATCATTATAGATAGCCTTGGGATATATTTCAAAACGGAATTTAAATGAAAGTGTTTTGAAAATATATGTTAATTCCTTTTAAAAATATTTTAGAAGCTTATTTTGATTCTTAACTTACCCATTGTATCGTCATTCTCCATTGGTTTAACAGTGTTCGGCTTAGGCTGTACACAGAATCCCTCATCAATATTCTCAATCCGCTCCTGGGACATCATCAGTGAAAAGTCAAAACGGGAGTCGCGCTCCAGAGCTGGGAAAGCCCGAGTCCCGGCGCCATAGAGAATGGCAACGATTGCAGCTAGTGTTTATATAGTAAACATTATAAATAATATATAGTGCATATTACAATAATAATATTATAATATTTACATTATAATATGGTATATATTAAAATTAATATATAGTATTTAGTATAGTGTACTTGTTTTTTAGTGAATGGTGTTTGCAACTCTCTTAGAGAAGGCTTTCTACTTACTTAACCACAAAAGCTTGTCCAGCAGCATTTTGAAAAATATTTTATTATATTTATTTTAATCTAAATATTTTACTCGAAATAGTTTACTCAAATTATTTTCCTATAATTTTTTTTCCTATATATTTTTTTACTCGAAACATTTAACTATTTTATTTTTATCTATATATTTTTTTTCCTACAAACTTTCTTCCTAAATTTTTTGAGAGCACTTTTTGGAGCTGTTCACTGTACGACGATCGAATCAGAAGTGAGTTTGTTTTGTGAGCTCCTAGAACAGGTGACACTATACGAATGACCCAAAGATACAAGCTTACTTTGCTTTACGATTTTCTTAAAGAACATAATGGGTTACTGAGTTCACAATCTTAAAGCTCAACCCCCTTTGAAAAGAAACTTTTGAAGCAGCTTCATGGAAGGCTTGAATGATTATTCGATTATTCTGGGTTCCGCAGGCAATTTAAATAGATTCCTCTTCACCTGGTCTGATTTAGGGAAGACTTTATCTTCCTAGAGCAGCAAGAGCAGGAGCAGGAGCAGCATAAATAGACCCAGGATGAATAGTGGCTACTTCCCTTAACTCTGTGTTAGCTGCAATTTACGATCTTACGGCGTGGCGTGAACCGGAGGCATGGCTTCACCGGCTAATTTTCCACTGCCTCGGAATCAGGCTAAACCAAAGTGCCCTCCCACAATCGAAGTTTATGGGAACCCCACTAAATTTCGATAACAATAAAATATGATTTTTGGCGGCACGCATTCCCAAATAAAAATAAAAGGACAACACGAAAAGAAATTAGGAAACTGGCCGGAAAAGGACACCAGCCAAGTCAGGATGGCGCAAAACAAACAACAGCAAATGCGTCTTTGTATATTTATATGTACATAAAAAAGCAAACTTCATTTTCGAACCCCTCGAAATCCATCTTGAAAACAAAAAGGGCGAACTCGCAATGCCCTGCCCAGAAGAGTTGCAGGTTATCCCAGGCCCCGCCTGGATGCCCCAGTGGATGTGGCCCGATCGAGGGCAGCATCCACCTCCCCACCTTCCTCCGCAGAGTAAATATTACAAAAATGTATTACACGGGACTCGGGCGGATAGGCGCGGCTCGGGGAAATGGAGATGGAAATGGCAGACGTGACAAAAATGCTTAAGTGAAAAGTTACGAGCGAGCGGCGGAAATCGCTTTTTCCCCCCTGACTCTTATGTTTCCCTTTTCTTTATTTTATTTTGCTTGTTTTCCCAGCGTAAACCCCCGAAAAGTTCCTTCGCGCATTTCGTTTTCCTCTTTTTCAGCTTTGCTTTTTTTTTTATTTTTGTTTTTGTTTTTTTTTTTCGGTTGCGTTACGTTTTTGTTTTGCTCTCGCAGCAGCTTAATATTTTCTTGTTTACGTTGGGCGGCTGGGAGTGCACTGAGAGAAACTTTAAGGGGAACTTTAATCCAAATTGTGTTTAATTTTAAAAGAAATAGGAAAATGATGAAAAAACTATAAGTTTGAATTTAATTTTATTATATTATATTTTATAATATATTTTTTGTAATATTAATATTATTTTCCTGTGTGGCCTTAGGGCCTTGCGCTACGCGGGAGCGCTGAATGAGTGGCGCTGCTGACTGGTGGCCTCCCGTTGTTCATCAACCCGAGTGGGTGTCGTCCTGGGCTCGACTCCTTGCTCCTTGGCTGCTGTGCTGTCAAACTTTTCACGCACGCCCGCTGCCGGCGAAGCGATTTCCCGGCACGGGTTGAAGACGGCACGCTGCCGAGATGCCAAGATGGGGCTAGGGGAGAAAGGGAGGTAGCGGAGCCCGCTCCAAATCGATTTCCGCTTCATTACGCCGCCGCTTATGCGGCGCCCCCAAGCAGAGCGGTGCGGCCTGAGCGGCGGGCAGAGCGGAGCGAGCACTTCAAATCGTATCAATCATCTTTCAGAAACACTTTGCACACCCCGCCGCACACTCTGCCCACACACACACACACACTTGGAGTAAGATGTGAGGAGGCTTCTTTCGCCTTCCGCCTTCCTTTTGGCGAAATATTTGGTCATATGTCAGAGACAAGACCCGCAAATTGTTTGTTTGCTTTTGCATGCCATTCTGACACACACACACACCCCCCCACACACACACTCCCCCCTCTCTACAGTGTTATTTCGGGCCGCTTTCATGTCATTTTTCAAGTTTACACAAAATATTTCAAGTGTTTGATGTCTTTTGCACCCGAAGCGCATCAATTTCCTCCGGAGTCCCCTCCATATTTCACATTGTTTCTGCTCGGGAAATCCCCACGAAAAAAAGGGGAGATACTCCCTATAGATAGCAGTTTCCAGATCGTAGATATAGATACACAACTAGGGCTATATTTCGTTTTATTTTTCGTTGTCTGCGGCAACTCAATTAAAATGTAAGGCAACCGCAAGTGGTGGCGTAAAAAACATATAAATATCGCGTATACGCCGCGTAAATCCATAATTGCATTTGTTTGTTATCGCCACGTGAGGGGGTGGTGTAGGGTGTGGCTCTAGCTGAGAGGGGGAAAGGTCCAACTATAACAACCAGCAAGCAGAGCCAGGGCACACAGGCCCATATATCCTTGCCCTGACCACGTACCGATAAACGCTTTCCCAGGGAAAACTATCAAAGCAATCTTCATAAAAATACAAGGAAAAGTACTTAAAAGTATTTCTTAAACTACAAAAAATAAAATATATTTTTAAAAGGAAAAAATTTACAAAATTAAAAAAGTAAAGATTAAAAAATAAAAAGAAAATATATAAGGCTAATTTTATTTTTAAGAAACAATTTATTTTATTAAAAATTTAAAAGTAAAAGAATTCTCTAAAATGTTATTATTTCTATTATTTTAATTATTTATTTGTTTTTTCTTAAACTAGTTTTATAGAGATTTTCCTCTCGGGAAATTCCCAGAGAAATCGCTTTTCAGCACCGCCCCTCTCATAGCATGTTTTTATATGCATTTCGTTGCATTTCCACTTCAATTTGAACGTGCAATGTATTTTTAAGCACTCGGCTGGGCGACACGGGCTGCGGGGAAGGGTACGGGGCTGCGGGGCTGCTGGAAAAGCTGGGAAATGGTGGGGTCTTTGGTGGCAACAATTGCCAAGTGCAGCCCGGCGTGGTGATCATCATCATCATCGTGAGCAGCAGCGGCATCATGATGATTGCCACTTGAGCGGGTTTTTTGCGCCGAGCTTGCTACGCTTTTTATTCTTTTTTATTTTTTTGCCAGCTAACCAGCCAGCATTCTCCAACCCCAAGGATGCTTTCCAGGACACGTGCGAGAGTATGTGTGTGTTGGTGGGTGGTCAATTATTTGTTGCTACTTTATAAACTGCCGGCGAGAGCGCTTTTGTTGTAGTCTCTCTCTCACCAGCTGCTGCATAAATTGACCCCGTCGACTGGGTTTTCTTGGCCAAAAGGTGTAGGGAATATCGAAAGATATCGGAAAATCAGATAATCGGAAAACCGGAAAATCACACCACACGCTCAAAGCCCGGAAAAAGTTTTCATATAAATTACAGGAGGCGTGAAGGAGGCCCCATTTGGCATTCACCAAGAGCCAGGCAATAATATTTATTTAAAACTCTCTGCCAAATGGCTCGGGGAATGCTCCTCCACCTCCGGCTTCTTCTCTGGCACACACACGTGCACCTGCTTAGCGGATTCGCCTTCTGAGAAAAAAAAGTAAAGCAAACATTCCCGATAATTTGAAAGTAATTCGTTTAAAGAAATTTACGTGATTTGCTTAACAACCCGAAGGCGAAGGAGTCCTCGTCCTCGTCCTCGGCTGTATTGAGTTGTCCAATGACACGCCATAATATTTCCCGGGGCGTGATCTCTCCTCCGGGCCGGGTTAATATGTGCGCCATTTGCGTGCCACCGAATTATTGCCTAATCACTGCTCCTTGGGCCAGGATCCAGTGCAGGGACACAGGACATGGCAGTGCCTGGCTGATGCTGCTGCTGCCACATCTTAGCCGGCGTCAGCGGGCAGCAGTGGCGAAAGTAGCCGCCAGCAAAAGTTTCCTCCCTCAGCCAATTTGGAGCCGAAAAAGAAAATTTGTAGGCTACGCAAAAGTTTTTCCGAGTTTCCGAGCCGCCGTCCGCAAACCTCTTCCTGGGACCTAGCCTGGGCGTAAGAACTTTTCCGTATATAAATGGTAAGCACAGGGAAAATTAGGGAATGAGTTCGAGTTGTTAAATAATAAATCAATATCTTAGAAAGTGTTTTATATATATATTTTTAGTCTTAAACACCCTTTCTTTATTTATATCATATTATATTATATATTTTATATATTTAAATAAGTGTTTTAAAAGTTTCTTTTTAAGGTCGAAGACCTTTTCTTTAATTATTTCAACTTTAAGATACATTTTAATGTTAGTAACTCCTCTTTTTTGTAATGGCATTCAGCTAAGATTTTAATAACTTAAATATAAAATCTGATTTTAATTTAATTTTAATGTCAGAAATAATAATGATTTGACTCCATTTAAAACTTATTCCTAGCCCTGCCAATAGCTTTTCTCTGCTCCATATTTCTCTCCCTGTATTTGCAGTTATCTTTGTGTATATATCTCAATGTATATATACACCTACAGAGTGTTGTTTTTTCTTCTTTTTTTCTTGGCCCGCTTAGAGTCTATCTGTTGTTTAGTGGCCCTAAGGCAGTCAGACAGGACGAGGGGCGAGCCTGGGCGTGGCATGTGCAAAAGTTTTCGCAGAGCCACCAACAAATACCAAAATAAACAGCCAACAATGGCAAGTGGCAGCGGTTAAGCTGACAGAATGCTGAATTCGGGATGGGATTCGGATGGAGTGCTCTGCCGGCCGTGGTCGTGGTCGTGGTGTTGGTGTTGGCGGATCTGCAAGATAAAGCGCTGAAAACTCGAAGCCGGCGGCGGGAAAAGTCGGGGAAAGTCGCTCAGCACAAAATGAAAACAAATTGTGTTTTATACACTTTCCATTAGGGTTACTCTGGCGAGAGAGCGAGAGCGATAGTTGAAGGTCGTTCTAGTTCTCGTTCTCGGTGATGCTGATGACGAGGACAAAGGACACACAGGACGCAGGACACAGGACACAGGACTCAGGACGCCGACTCCTTTGCCGGATGATAGATAATCGGGCGACTCAGCTCCGAATAAAGTGATAAAGCACAGCGTGATGGAGAAAAGTTCGAAAGAAGCTTGGTGAATGACTTGGGGCTCCAAAAAATACGACGTTCATTTTGTTTACAGCGAGGTGATTTCAGCGAGTCACTGCTTCCGTATCCGGCGGAGTTTTCAGCACAAATTGAGTGACTGTGGCGAGTGGCTTGCAGGGAGTGGAGGAGTAAGGAGGGGACAGTTGATACCTGGGAGTGACGACTAGCTGGTGGCGAGTTGCCAGTTACCAGTTGCCAGTAGAAAGTAACGAGTAACGAGAACCATTTATTTTCCAATTCCCACCCGAAAAATTGAAATATTAAGCCAAACAAATCAGGCTGCCGTTCGACACGCGCAGCATTTATCAGTGTTTTCTCTGGTTTTTCCTTTCCTTTTTCGCCACACACACACACACACACACACACAGACACACAAACGAGAAGCGGAAGCGGAAACAGACAGAGAAAGGGCTGGAAAATGGCCGGCGGCAGCGTCTGATGACGATAACAGGAGCAGGGAGCCGGTCCCCAAGTGCGGAACAGGACGCTTATTGACGTTGAGCAACGCTTATTGGCGTACTTAATCCTTTTGGAAAATTCCAATAAATTACGACAGAGACAGGAACAGAGACAGCCGAACATTATCCTCGGCACAACAAAAAAAGAACAAAAAAACAAGGAAAAAAATCATCAATAGGCCATGATGAGTTTCTGATTGCAAAGCAGTCAAAAAGGGAAAAGTCGGGCAAACAAAAAAAGAAAACAAGGACCGTGGATAACAGGAAAGGGCAGCGGGTACACCGATGATGGCCCCTGATTGTCCGAACGATGCGGCCATGTCACCCGGTTTAGCGTCGGAGGAGACCCTTCTCCGGGATTGGCGGTGACTTTGGGGCAGTCATAAAATCGAACTGACGTTTTATGGGAGACTACCTTGAAGTCCAGCTCCGAGTCCAAGTCCAAGTCGAAGGCTAACTTAAATTGAATGCCATCATTTTGCCAAAGGACCTTTGTCACTATTTACACTAAGACTAAACTTAATTTGTATAATTTTTTGTATTTTTTTTTATAAACAGTAATCTTTGGGCAACCATTTAGATATTGGAAGAAAAAAGAATTGAAATAAAAGAAAACCAAAATCCTTTAGGTAACCAAAGGAGTTTTGGCAAATTCGTCTTATTTTTTGCAGTGTCTCGGCCCTGGTCTGTTGCTGTATTTTATGGCCTTGTGCTCTGGCTTATCTCTGGCCCGACCTGCTCCACAGGCCCTTTCCAATCCCAGGACTGTGGCTCCTCCATCCGCCGGCTTGTCTGCCGCTTTTTATTGTAAATGCTTTGCATATTTTTGATTGGCTTCCCGAACCCTGGCCAAATAAAAAAACAATAAGAATCCTTTGTTCCTCCGTCTCCTTTAATTTTGTGCTGTCTCCTGGTCGTGCTCCTTCTCCAGCTGCTGCTCCTTCTACTGCTCCTTCTCCTGCTCCTGTTCCTTAACCTCCTGCCTCTGCTCTTCCTGCTCCTCCTCCTGCCTCTGCTCCTCCTCCTGCTCCTCCTGGAAACCTAGTCGTGCTCCTTTTTCTGTTCCTTGTCCTCCTGCCTCTGCTCCTCCTCCTGGAAACACTCTTCCTCGGTGTCAGATCCAGAGTCCTCCCTCTCGTTTAGCAGCTTCCCCCCATACAGGCTGGCGTCGATGCGCCGGCAAAAGGCCACAAGTCGCGGATAGGTGTACAGCAGCTCGGTTAGCTCCCGGTTGGGCAGCGGCGTGTTGATTATACCCACCACATGGCCAAAGACCAATGCGTCCAGCTCGCAGGGCTGCGGTCCATACAGGTAACCCTCCCAGCCATGTCCCTGCTCCTCCAACTGCTCCAGCAGTGCTTCGCAGCACTCGCTGACCTCGTCGAGCACCTCGTCGGCGCTGAGATGATGCCACTGGTAGACGCGGAGCAGCCGCATGGCCTGGCGCTGCTTATAGAATCGTCGGATCAGGCTCAGCAGCCAGGGATGACCGCCGCCGCTCCGCCGGGCCGTGTACAGCCGATAGTTGACGGGATCGACGTAGCTGAGATGGGTCTCGGCCAGCGTGAAGACGGTCTCCACGTAGTTGACCATGGCGCGCATATCCTCGCGCTGCTCCTCCGACAGCCAACGGCCCAGAGCCTTCGAGGGCTTGGTGGTCACCACATGGTTCACAATTGGCTCGAATTCGGCCAAAATGTCAAACTGTCCCAGTCGGAGCATGGGCAGGCCGGTGAGGCGGCCGCCCTGGGTCATGAACTCGGCATGGACGCTGGTCTTCTCGGCAAAGGGCAGGCGGCACAGGCGCAGGTATGTCCTGACGGCAATGCAGCTAGTGCGTTCCGCGAGGAGCAGCTGACTGTGCTCCGGCGGCTGATGCAGTTGTACTACATCCGGCCAGGATTGCTCGCCCTCCTCCAGGAGCTCCTCATGATCCTGATTCTGCTCCTGCGGCCGTTCCAGCTGATCATTCTGGTCATCCAATGATGGCTTCTCGGCCGCCTGGCCAGACTGCCCAAAGGCGGCGGTCAGACTCTGCTCTCGATTCATGGCTGGAAAAACGGTAATTTCGAGGGGAAAATGTGGTTGACTTTGGAAAATGAATTTTATATATTTTATATTTTCCCAAATGAAGTGGAAATGAATCGAAAATGTTACTGTTACTCCTGGTAATTCGAAAACTCGATTGTTATTCATTATTTGCGCTCAAACAGGCCTTGATTGGCCTTCAGCCAAGAGGCTTAAATCAATTTTCGCCTTAAATAAAAGGAGTTTAAACGGGAAATGTATGCAATTAGCGGCGAGCAAATAAAACTATATTTGCAATTAAGCCAATTATTTAAACAGTTGCTGGCGGGCATTATTCCTGCAGCCGAGGAAATCAGTTTCAGTTTGTGTTTCAGTTTCAGTTGAAGCTTCGGCTTCGCTTTGATGATGAAAATGTTTTGTGAATTTTCCGCTCAAATGGACATTCCGGCAATTAATCATCGGGGCGGAGCAAGGAGTCGGGAGCAGGGAGCAGGGAGCCAGGAGAAGCACTCAGCGTTGGCCTAAAAGGTTTGCCCCGCATCTCGGTCCCCCTCTGGCAGACAGATTCGCGGACTTTGGCATCGAGGATGATAAATTACACAAGCGGAACATTATGCAGGCCTTGAGGACTCCGCCAGCGAGTGTTTCCGGCGCTGAGCCGCAAGTCGAGAGGCGGAGTGTGTCCTAGGCTTGGAGTTTCAAGGATCATCAGGTAGGAGGGTTAAGGGAATAGGAGGGTGAAAAGGGCTGCTTTTATAGTTTGTATTTGTAGGTAATAAATATATTTTATAATTTATATTATAAATATATTAAATATATTTTAGAATTATGCAAATTAAGTGAATATAGGGAAGGAAATCTAATCTTTACTTAGTTAATCTTCAAAATAAATCAAACAAAATAAATTCTTAATAAAATAAATTAAAATTTAATGTTGAATAATTCAAATTAAGCCTTAAAATAAATTTTATAATCTTTATTTGTATATCATAAACATGTTTTAATACTTTTAAGTAAATTAAGCGTATATAGAGAAGAAAATAACATATTTAATTATTTTTACTTATTTAATATTTAATTTAATTCTATTAATTCATAAATATTTAAGTAGTTAATTTTCAAAATATATAGTTAATAAAATAAATTAAAATTTTATGTTGAATAAGGCAAGTTAATCCCTAAGAATCGAACCCAAACACAGCCTTAATATTCAATTACCCCAACTAACAGTATTAGGATTTCCCTTCTGAGGAAAAGGACTCAACCATAATCACTTCGGCCGCTGACAGCCAAGAATATCAGATGTGCGATTGACGGATTATCCCAGTTGGCCATTTGCCTTGGCCCGCTTGGTATATTCCCTTTTGCCTTTTGGGACTAATTTAACGCTGAATTACGAGTTTTGGAGGCGAATTTTTGATTTGAGGAGGTCCTAGCCTAGTTTCGAGGTCATTCCCTGTCGTTGATTGATTTTGGCCAAGGACTTTTGGGAATTTCTCAAGGCTTCGTTGTAGTCTCAGTGCTGCTCATAGTCCTGCTCCTGCCAAATTAATTAAGCCCTGCTGCTGCTGCAAGCCACTTCACACAACAAATCGCCAGCCTTGGTGGTTCAGGTGGCAGGATGGATTTTTGGGGTGGCTGGTTGAGACATCGTTTCGGCAACAAAAGCCAACAAAAGGCAACAATTCTTACCCACTAATAAAGAATAATATGACTGCCATAAAACTCAATTTATTACCAAAATGTCGACAAGCAGCAGCAGCAGCAGACTCCCTTTCTCTGCGTATATGTGTGCCACTGTGTCTCTTTCACTTTTCGAGAATTACGACCTCCGGATGGAGGGGGATCTGGGAGCAGGGAGTAAGCAACCAGGAGCTAACATCCTGGAGCCAGGAGCCTGGATCCTGAGACACTGAGACACCACAGCAGAGAAAGTGCCGGCGAAAAAGGAGAACGAATGACGTACGGAAGTGAAGGGGAAACGGCAAAAGTTTATGCTGCCATTTTTGTTTGGCAATTTTCTATTTCTATTTCAATTCCGAGGCGTCGTTTTATTTGCATTTGGTGTGAGAAATGTGTGAGCTGCGACTGGCTTGGCCCGGGCTTGGCCTTTTGCTTATCCGGATACGGGATACCCTGTACTAGACGGAGGTCCTGCCAGGTCCTGGGTGGCTAGAGAGGGATTATAATATTGTATGATAATTTTTGGGAGCAAAAGCCTAAACTATCTTAACATTTTTATGTAAACCTTCTACTGTTATCTGTAATATTTAAAATATAAATTGTTTTTATTTCTGTTACTTTATATAAAGCATTTAATTCAGCTAAAATAGTTGATTAAAATATTTTCTATAATTTCTTAAAAACCTTTTCTTTATTTTTTTTTATTTTTTTTTCTCCCTTTATATTTTCCTGTATGTATATTTATTTTTTATTTATCTAAAATTCAACCTGATATTTTGAAGACATCAGGGTATATCCTGGCTCAGTCCTGCCCCGTCCGATGGCATCGTTAGTCCTGGCTTTTAACGTAATTCTTTCGCACGACTCCCCGGCTTCGTCCTTTGTCTTCGTCTCCTGCATTCGCTGCTCCGTTTCCATCTTTGTTGTGCAATTTTATTTGCTATTTCGGTTTTGTGCTCCTCCATTCCACGCGGCTGCTTGTCTTTATTATTATATTCGCTTTCTTTTTCTGTCTCTTTTTTTTGTTTCATTTTTGTGTTGTTATTTTGTTGCCACAGTTGGCCATTGTTGGATATTGTTGGCCAGCTGTTGGGCGCATTTCGCCGGCCGCTTTGTGGCTAGAATTCGGCGGAGCATAGGACTCCTTTCTCTGGAGGCCGCTAAATAGCCGTTTGGCTGAGCTAATCCACGGCCGTATTGTCCTTTGTCTCGAGGAGATAAGCGGGCACTCGGACAAAAGCCAAGACTGGCCAAGGCGAGGGAGTGGCCAGCCGGGAGGACATAAAGGAGGAATCACAGCTGACGGACCCACTTGTTAGTACATATTTAAGCAGGTTGGGTTGGGTTTTTTGTTTATCAATAATAACATTTATTTAAGTAATCGTGGAAATAAATAAATATATTGGCCTAATTCGAGATGGTAATGTTCAGAAAACCTTAAATTATAAAATTCCCTTGAACATTTATAAAATATAAAAAGGAAAATATATATGGGAAAAAATATAAAGGAAAATATATACAGAAAAATACGAGACCCTTCTGAACAGAGTTTCCTATTGATTTGATCACTCTTCTCCGAGTTGTCGAGGGCTGCCTATCATGCAGTCTCGTCCTGACGCATTACAACGCCTATTTTGCGGTTGTCCTGATGGAACCATTACCTCTCTTCCCCCCTCCCTCTCTCCCTTACATTCCTGGAATGAAAAAACGGAATGGAAAACCTTTTATGTTACATTAAATTTGACTGCGTGCCGAGTGATGCCTGGGCGATGGGAAAGGGTCTTTGGGTGGGGTCCTGGGTCGTCTCGTCTTTGGCTGCCAGCGGAGCCTGGGGGCTTGTCAAAGTTGTCGCAACATTGTGGCGCTGTCAGTGTCATTGTCGCTGCAAATTATGGCGGCCTGAATGCGTAAATGATGCTTAATTAACATTTACCCGGGGCTCCAGCCAGGCGAAAGCCGAAAGCCGAGTGCCAAGGAATGTCTACGATGTGGCAGGCAGGCAGGCAGAACCCCGGACTCCTTGCAGGCCAAAAATAGGCAGCAGCCGCCAGGACGAATCGGGGCCAAGTGAGGGGCTAAAGCTGACACGGCCAAAAGTGGGCCAAAGGTGAAGCCACAAAGCCACGAACAATAAAAGGAGGAAAAAAAATCCAACTAGAGTTTGCCATAAGCTTCCATCATTTCGCGGTGTTTTTCCTAGGGAAATTGTTTAGTTACTCTTGGAGAACTTTATAAATTTTACAATCAACAGTTTAACTTTCTAAAAATTACAAAGAAACTAGTAAATTGCACCTTTTACTCTTTAAGAAATATTACTAAACCTTTTGTAATAATTTTCAAATGGCCTTTGCTTACTCAAGCGCAGCGGCAGTGACACCAAAAAGTTTTCTGGCATTTTTGGGTTAATCGGAACTAATTGCAGTGCAGGAATTACCAGGGAAAAACCCTTTCGCCTGACCCTAATTAAACCATAAGTCAGATAAGGCACGCACTCATTGAAATCACTTAGCCGAATTAGCCCAAAAACCGAGATGCTGGCCAGGCCAAAACGAAACGAGAGGCGAGACATTGCGTCAACGTCAGGCGGCGACTCAACTCGACTATGGCGGAGGTCCCTTTCCGGTTTTTGGTCCTGCAAAATGGGAATAAAAGGGAGGGAGGAGAGGGGGGAGTGCCGTAGGCGGGACAGGACACGCTTTTAATACAATTAGAGCGCTTAAGTTAAGTGCTCCCAGACTACGCAGATGGCCAGATGCTGCTTATGCGACGAGTCCTGGAACGCCGGGCTACAGGCTGCAGAATCCGGGATCCAGGAGCTGGGAACTGGGAGCTGGGAACCCCAGACGGGCACAGAACGGGGCCAATGGCACTTTAAGTTAATGGCGTAAGCAGGGAACAACAAAGGATTGAACTTTGTTGGTGGGGACGAGCGATAAATGAAATGAACTACAGGTGGTACCTGGGACCAGGTTGGGGTTCGGGTTCGGGATTGGGTCTGGGCTTGGCCTGGCCAGGGTTAAGTTGGGTGCCAATGAGAGCACGAACGAGGCAATAAATAAGAAATAACACTGGCGGGCAAGAGGCTAAGACTGGCAGTTACCTGGGAATTATTATATATTTTATATATTTAAGGATGCTCTTGTTTATTATTTTTAATTGAACAGAATATAGGTTTTCATTTTGGTTATTTTATTTTTTATTTTTAATGCAAAATGAATGGATTTAATTTTGTGTGGGATTTATTCGAGAGAGTTTTGAAATATTTGAAAAAGAGTTAGAGAGACAGAACTCGTTCCCATAAACCCCCTAAGAAAGCCCCTACAGGGTATCAATTTTGACGCGCCGTCTCCGGCAGCTTAGCACTTGCACTTACACTTCCACTTATCCTGGCGGCGTCCTGATTAGGACTGTGTGCCATTGACTAACGCTGACCCAGACGG